TGTTCAAATTTCATTTCAGATATCATTTGGTCCTATAAGTTGGCTCATGGTGTCAGAAATATTCCCGCTTCGCACAAGAGGAAAAGGGATTAGTCTTGCAGTTCTTACTAACTTTGCTTCAAATGCTATTGTGACATTTGCATTCTCACCACTGAAGGTATACATACCACCCCCCCACCCCCCCCCTCCCCACTTCCTTTTCCTCACTATAATGCCAGCCTTTTTCTTTCATATTTGAGGCAGGTTTTCTCATATCTCATGAGTTAAGGCCTCAAACTGACTGGTATAGAAGTGGTTGATTAACATTTGCTAATTTTGCAGGAGGCGCTAGGAGCAGAAAACCTTTTCATCCTCTTTGGTGTTATTGCCTTGCTATCTCTTCTGTTCATTGTACTACTTGTCCCAGAAACCAAAGGTTTGAGCTTGGAAGAAATAGAATCCAAACTCTCGAAATAGGTGCTAACCCATGGCCGGAACTATCATTGTAAGTTTCCAACGTGACATGTATCTGTAACCTTGTTTCTCAGTGTCTCCAGGACAGGTCCTATATTCACAAAATCATGTAAATCTGTTTTACAACCAAGTACATTACTCAATGCGAGAATTTTCACTTTAGTACAAGGAGTTCTGCAACTGTTAAGCAATAGCTGGTCCATGACATTCAATTTGGAACAGCATTTAGCTTATAGTATGGCTAGAAAACTTTCAATGGCGCTGCAGTGGAAGGGGAATGCAACCAAGAAAAAGGACTGTTGCTAGTTAGACATTGGTTGTAACACCTGGAACAGTGCCGTTGAGCATTGGACTCTCTGTTATTAAAACGATTGAAACTTAGATGCATCTTTTGGGAAATTGATACTGAGTTATCGAGTTTAATAGTAAAAGGACATACTCATTGTGACATGGAGATGAACTAGTAATGCTATATTTGGCTAGATTCTTCAACTTTTGATACTTAAAACTCCCAACTTAAACAGAAAATTGAAGTTTAGTGAATCAACATCGTTTTAACTGAAGATGATAATCTTGCAACCTTGTGAACTCAACCCCGTAACTGAGCAACTGTCAGGAGGAACAGAGTGGTGCATGCATTGCAAACTCCATTCTAACACGAGGCCATCGGTAGATTTAACTGCAGGTCGTCGCGGATCACTGCAAATACATGATTAACGGCGATGATGAATTAATCGTTGAACATTATTTTCGTGCAAGAGAAACAAACTGTCTATATAGTTTCTAAACTTTGAAGTATCTCTTTCTGCTTTGCTAAAACGCCAATGACATGTAGAGTTGCTTAACTCATCTGAGCTGTTTCCATGTCTTACAGTACACCCTCAAGGTTTTAATTTAAAGACGTTATTTTTTAAAGACCAAATGGGTGATAAAACAATCTATTTTAAGAGGTAAAGAAGAAAAGCTTAAAACCTGATCCTCAACAGTCCAGTATTTTGTCAAGTTGGAAAGTGAGATTTTATCCTATTTTGTTCACAGAGAGCCATGTGTCAGCCAATCCCATTTGTGTGGCCTTAAGGAATTCATCACCACACCACATGTTTTGTCAATTACACCCCCGACCTCAAAGCTCTTGCTTTTTATATCCAATCCCACAGATACAACTAGCTCTACATCTGCTGCTTTATTGCATTAAATTTGACACAGCTATCAGTACCATTTTGATCCATGGCTGCCACAGTCTCAAGTGTTGGAACTGTTAACAGAACACCGGTACTTTGTTTTCCCGCCTTATCATCTCTCATTTTTTTCTTTTTTCCTGTTACAGAAAACTTGACATACAAACTGTTTTCCATATTGTTTTTCTTTTTGAGCTTTTGTAGAACACCCAAAAGGATCCTTTTTGTTTCTCTGTGTGATGCCTGAAATTCAAGCATTTTGATCAGTTGTTATATTTTTCACATGGGTATGCTGTGAAATGAAGTTTGTGACTTCAGTTTGATGAACTTTCTTGTTTCTTGGCCCTAAAGATGTCTATATTTGATGCAGATGAGCTTGAACAGCTCTGGTTCTGGAAGCTCAATCCCAACCTCAGCTTTCTTGGGCAGCAGTTTGAAGAAAGTCAGCTCGAGAGTCCCCTACCAAAAGATTGTATCTGCAGGTAAATTAAAAATTACCGCGGAAACTGATGAGGAGAAGCAGACCAAAAAGGACAAGTGGAGAGGCCTTGCCTATGATATTTCTGATGACCAACAAGACATAACAAGAGGAAAGGGATTGGTTGATTCTGTCTTCCAAGCTCCCCAGGGGACTGGGACTCACTATGCTGTCATGAGCTCATATGAATACATTAGCACGGGACTTCGAGAGTAAGCAAGAAAATATAGAAATTCATTCATTTTTTATGGCTGCTTGGAGATCTGAATGTTTTTATGACAGAGTTCTGAATTATGTTTCAGATACAACTATGACAACAACATGGATGGGTTTTATATTGCTCCAGCTTTCATGGACAAGCTTGTGGTTCATATCACCAAAAACTTCATGAGCCTGCCTAACATTAAGGTACAGATGATGCTCCAAATACGAAAATAAATCTCATATTTGGCCCATCTTGAAGCTTATTTATATATTTCTAACAAATAAGAAGTAAGATATTGTCATGTTGTCTCCCATACCATTCTCACGTGACTAAAATTTGGGAAAACTTTTGTTGCTTCAACTGTTAATGTTAGCTATACTTTGTCAGTAAAATTTTGTTCATGATTGTTGGTTTTGATAGCTCAGATAATTTTATTTGAACTTGTATCAGGTTCCTCTCATTCTTGGTATATGGGGAGGCAAAGGTCAGGGTAAATCGTTCCAGTGTGAGCTTGTGTTTGCGAAGATGGGAATTACGTGAGTTCGTGATGGTTTAGCTTGTTTTATAAAAGTTTTTTTGGAGAACCACATAGAAATTAAGCAATATGATGGTACCCGAAAATCTTTGTTTTTTTTTTCTTTCATGCCTATATATGCAGGCTTGGTTCCACTTGATGCAGCTGCATTCTTGACTAGCCTTAGTGCCAGTGGAGAATTTCATGCATCCATTTTGCTGTCATTAATTAATTTTAATAATCTGGCTATTACATTTCAGCCCTATCATGATGAGTGCTGGAGAATTAGAAAGTGGGAATGCAGGAGAGCCTGCAAAGTTGATCAGACAAAGGTACCGCGAGGCTGCAGACATCATCAGGAAAGGGAAAATGTGTGCCCTCTTCATCAATGATCTTGATGCAGGTGCTGGTAGGATGGGTGGAACTACACAGTACACTGTGAACAACCAGATGGTGAATGCTACTCTCATGAACATTGCTGATAACCCAACAAATGTGCAGCTTCCTGGTATGTATAACAAGGAGGACAATCCCAGAGTCCCCATTATAGTCACCGGTAATGACTTCTCCACATTGTATGCTCCTCTCATTCGTGACGGTCGTATGGAGAAATTTTACTGGGCTCCCACTAGGGAAGACCGGATTGGGGTTTGCACGGGAATCTTCAAGCCTGACAATGTTAGTGCGGATGATGTTGTTAAGATTGTTGACACATTCCCTGGTCAATCTATTGGTAAGTATAGCTCAAAAGCTTGGTGTTTTGGAATTTTCCAACACTTTTCTTTATGAGAATTTTAAGTATAAAGCAGGAAAGGTCTTCAACAATCCATAGAGACTCTTCTGTTGTAGTAGCTTTTGCATATAATTTGGGAATGTGTTGGCCATGCTATTTATATTTCTTGAGTAACTAATCTATTAGAGATGTGATCAGTAAATATGATCCCTATAGTATTACTCGATTAGCGACTTGGTTGAAAATACGATCATGCTAACTTGTTATATGCCACACTGCAGACTTCTTTGGTGCTCTAAGGGCTCGAGTTTACGATGATGAAGTGAGGAAGTGGGTATCAGGTGTTGGGGTAGATGGCATTGGGAAGAAGCTTGTGAACTCAAAAGAAGGTCCCCCAACTTTTGAACAGCCTAAAATGACAGTGGAGAAGCTCCTTCACTATGGTCAAATGCTGGTTCAGGAGCAGGACAATGTGAAGAGAGTTCAACTGGCTGACAAGTACTTGAGTGATGCAGCGCTTGGAGATGCAAACCAGGACTCCATTAAGAGAGGAGAATTCTATGGTTAGCACACGTTGTCTTAACACAATAACCTTAGAGGCACCAACTTATGTCCCAACTTTTTAAATCTCAAGTGATGTGGCGGAATTTCATTCGTTTAAATTTGGGGCAGATTTTCCTTACCAAATCTGAACTATAGTAGTTTGTTCAAGTTTTCTGTAAATTTTTTGATGCAGGCAAGGCAGCCCAACAAATTAATGTACCTGTCCCTGAAGGCTGTACTGATCGATCAGCTGCAAACTTTGACCCAACAGCTAGGAGTGACAATGGTAGTTGTCAATATGAGTAAATGGGGAGTTGGAAGAAATAATGATATTGCTTGCTTCCTGGTTTCTTATCTTCTCTTGTAATATACACTTGTATTTTATTGGGGATTAATGCTTTGTTTTTATTTAATGATTAAATTAGCTATTAATGCTATATTATTTATTCTCTCTCACCCATTCATCCATGCCACTTGATAAGGCTCGTAGGCTTAATGCCATTGTTTTTTTTGTTTTTTTTCTTTTGATATTGGAAAGGGGGGATCGAACCTAAAATCTCAGGTGCAAGGGTAAATGCTCTTAACTACTAAAATCTCAGGTGCAAGGGTAAATGCTCTTAACTACTAAGCTACAAGCAACTTGCGGCTAAATTCCATTGTTATTATCCTCAGACTTGTTTATCTGCACCCATTATCTAAATTATAGTTTTAGAATCATGAAATATAAAAATCTAACTAGAGCCCACACAACAAACATAAACAGAAAGAGAGGAAAAGGAAGGAAGAGGAGAGGGTGTGATATATATTTTATTTATCTTTTTGCTTTGATTTTTGCGTGGTACAATTGTTCAAATCGAATCATCCAGCCACACAAACAGAAAACAAGTCCTTTGATCTTATGCAGCCAGAAACCAAAACAAGAAGAATTGTAAATTTAAGATTATCAGTTAAATTTTCTCTTCGTCTCTTGTGCCCTATGTGATTGCTGACTTTCAAAAATGTAAATGTAAATTAGTATGGAAGATTGTTCACAGAGCTTCTGTGAAATTATTTTCATCAACAGTTGTCAACTTCTGGAGCTGCAAAATTTGTTTATTGGCAACAATACAAAGCTTACACAAACATTGTAAATGATGTTTGGGAACCACTTATTGATGCGTAGAAACTTGTACAAAAGCCCAGAGTATTATTTCTTTATCAACAGTTGCTTTCCACTTTTCAGTTACTCTGTAGTATCCTCCCCTTATTTTCTTCCTCGACGACTGCAATGCATAATAGATCTCCATGAGGATAAATCATTTCAAAAAGATGAAAATAAAAGAAACTACAAGATATAACTTAATACCGTGTCAAGTATAGAATCTATAGCTGGCCCTGACGACCGTGGCCCTTCACAGATATGCTTGGCCCGTGTATAAGATTTTTGAACTGAATCACCATCAATCTCCATTTATTCATCAATCGAACTTTATAACTAAGGGAAATGTTCTTACCAGACAGTGTGACATGTTATTTGGACCGTTAATCAGAGATGGATTCTTATTTTAATATGTGATGCCAGATTAACGGTTTTACAACATAACATGCCAAAGAATCATTAACCTTATAACTTAATCTATCACTTTGCACTTTGTAGAATTGAATAATGAAGGAAATACCATGGAAGCTGCCTTCATATGCATTGGTAGAGACCGGAATGCGAGGTGATGAGGCCTTGGCTGATTGTGAGCGTGGTGATGATGAGATCATGGCTGATTGTGAGAGTGGTGATGATGAGGTCATGGCTGGTTGTGAGCTTGGTGATGTCGTCATGGCTGATTGTGAGGTAGTAGTTTTGGGCGACTCATCGTTCCGAAGCAAGGAAGTTATAGCCCCTTTCACCTTTCCCACCATGCCAACATCACTACCAGGACTTGTCCTTGGACTCATTACATCGGATATCACTCTTGATAGTGCTCTCTCATCTTCCCCTGGCTCAAACTTTTGAGCCAAATACTCCTTCACAGAAACACCCTTATCCCATATTTGGTCACTGCTACCAGCATGCTTTCCACCTTGTGGAGCTGCTGGGGCTGACAAAGGTTGCGGAGCCTCTAAGGCTGCCAAGGTTTGTTGAGCTGCCTGGGATGAAGATTTTTTTGGAGCTGATACTGCTAAAGAAGTGTGAGGAGCTTCCAAGGATTCATTGTTTTCTGAAGGTGTTGAGGCCGCAACAGTGAGACCTACCTTTGAGGCAATGGCGTGGGTTGCATCAGCTACTGCAGCAGGGGCTGAAACAGTGAGACCTTCTATCTTTGAGGCAATGGCATGGGTTGTATCTGATACTGTGGCATAGGCTGGTCCTAACTTCTCAGTGACAGTTTCAGTTATTGTCTTCTTAGGACTAGGAGGCTTTACAGTTTCAGCTACTGACTTGCTAGGACTAGGAGGCTTCTTGGCCACAGTTTCGGTGACTGTCTCGTTAGGACTAAGAGACTTCACAGCTGCAGTTTCGGTTACTGTCGTGTTAGGACTAAGACTCTTCTCGTTATCTTGTTCAGCATCTTGATTGACACTACTTGGCAAAACATGCTTCTCAGAAATCACAGGAACTGCTCTGGGATGTAGTTTTGCGGTCTCCTTGTATCCCTCGGGTGCCAGCTCTGATTCATACACTGCAAATGAAATGAAACTATTAAAGAGGGGATCGGTGGACGATTTGGAAGCCACAAAGAAATGGTTGGCGTTACTCCCCCAAGGGAAAACAAGCAGAAAAAATTTAGAAACAGATATGTTATGCATAATGAAATCTTGAAGATACTAATTATTACTTGGGGCTCCTAGATATTCAGCATCTTGTTCTTCGTCTTCATGCTCATGCATGCTTGCACCCAAAGTGGGGGTGCTGTTATCACCTTACATATGCTTCTTCTTGTGACTGAGTGAGTGCCGCAGTTTCTTGGCCTTCTCTTTCACCTTAGTGAGAACAGATTTCTTGTGATGGTGTCCGTGATCGTCTTCTTGATTGTGGTGCCCAAGCGGAGATGATGAGGATGAGGATGCTGGTGACGACTTTAAAGCTTCACCTCCTGGACAGCAAAAATGGGTTAGAAGAATATGTGTAATTATCAGAAAAGAGTTTCAGACACATGTTCTGGCAAGGCATGGTGCCTTGGCTGATTGACATGTTCGACACATGGCTATATACAACCGGTTAAACTAATATTTTCTCATATCTTGGTGCGACCCTGCTACAATCCAGATATCTGTACCATGTTCACTGGTGGAGAAGAAGTTACAGTAAGATGGCATCGGATACCTCGAAGATAATGTTCCATAGTTGGGCTTGTACTGGTAGTAAGTTTTTTTGGCTCATGGGTGGTAGTAGTTTCAGAGTCGCCATGTCTTTGCACACGTTCAAGTTGAGCCATTGATCTGCAATTCACAATTGAGGGTCTCATTAGGCTGCCTCTGTTGTTGAGACAACTCTGATATTTGTATGGGGTTCTTGCATTTTCTTCCGGGGTTCTTGCCAAGACAACGAACAGGGTTCACAGGTCAATTGGTTAATTTGTTAGTGGGCTCCATTTTTACACGTGGCAAGAGAAGGTACTAAGTTTAGCTTGCTGCTTGCAACTCAGTAATGATTATATCCTGAAATAGTGATTGACTAGGCCAGGAGCAACCATCTTCCTCTTCCTTAGCCTTGTGTCTTGGGACAGTATTGGTATTGCAAGAGAAACATGTAATTGATTCCATCATAATTGGATTTTCTTTTTTGAGGCTCTTTAGAAATTGAAAATGAAAGAAAGAAATTGAAAATTGGATTTCCTTCTGTCAAAAGCTGAAAACATAAACATATCCTTTTTGTTGACTGTTTTTGCCATTGTCCTCTTTGTTGACTCAAATCCAACTATGACCAGGAGTTTTTCTAATTCCTCTATCATACATGAGCTTCCTCACTCCTGCTGCATCATCCCAGCAGCCTCCTGTCACCAACACATTCGATAGTAGTATGTAAGTTGCAGGGTCATTTGGGCACAGCTCTTGAAGCTTTTTTGCTGAAAGAAGAGCGATTTCCTTATTTCCATGAACTTTGCAAGCACTAAGTAGAGCTTTGTATACGGAGGGTCCTGGCTCTATTGGCATGCTATCGACGAAGGCTTCTGCTTCATGAAGATTTCCAGCTCGACCGAAAAGATCAACAACCGTAGCATAATGCTCCATTCTGGGGGGTTCAAGCAAATCATCATTTCTCATCAAATCGAAATACATAAGTCCTTCGTGCACTAAACCAACATGGCTACAAGCAGTTAGTACAATGAGGAAGGTGGTATTATCTGGTTTGACCCCTGCTCTTCTCATTTGTTCAAACAATTCAACAGTCTCCAATCCAAATCCATGTTGAGCATAACCTGCTAATAACGAATTCCAAGAGACCACATCATGTTCGTTCATCAAAGTAAACACCCACTTTGAATCATGGATGGCACCGCATCTGGCATACATGGAAACAAGCCCATTCTGAACACAAAAATTTGAAGCTTGCCCACTCTTGAAAACGAGAGCATGGATTTTCTTTCCCGCTTCAAGGTCTGAAAGAGTTCCTACTGCTCTTAAAATGCTAGCAAATGTGAAGAAGTTCATAGCAACGCAGGCCTGCCTCATGTCAGAGAAACATTTCAAAGCTTCCTCACAACTTCCAATATTAGAAAAACCAGCGATTACTGCATTCCATGAGATTTGATCCCATATTGCAACACATGAGCAAAGCTTTTGAAAGTCCTCCAAGCTATTGCTACAATCTGAATATATGGTCAGAAGGGTAACAACTATATACACGTTAAACTCAAAACCTTCTTTCATTATCCGGCAATGAATTTGCCTGCAATGAACCCAAAAGTCTGGGCTAGAAAATGAGCTCAACAAACTATTATAAGTTACATAATTTGGTTTCAAACCCAACCGCAGCATTTCCCTTGCTAAAATCATCGCCTCATCAGATTGTCCATTCTGTGCATAGCCAGTAACCATGGAAGTCCAAGTTATAACATTCCTTTCTGGCATTTGATTAAACACCCGCATTGAATCATTAACACTACAACACTTTGAATACATATCTATCAATCCTGTTCCCACAACAACATTATAGCAAAGCCCTGTTTTCAGGCTCAAACCATGAACCTGAGCACCAAGCTCTTCTGCTTCTAATTGTGAGCAACCCACCAAGGCCCCCGACAGACTGAACGGCGTTGGCACTACCCCCACTTTTAACATCTCCAGGAACAACCCAACTGCCCTTTTTGGCAACTCAGCTTGCAAATAACCAGAAATCAAAGAATTCCAAGTTACTACATTTCTGTCAGACATTTCATCAAACTGTTTCTGGGCATTCGCCAACGAGCCACATTTTCCATACATATCAACGAGAGCACTGCATATATAGACATTAGAACAAAAACCCAACTTGATAACAACTGCGTGAAGCCTAATACCCAAGTCCAAAGAAGTCGATGTTGCGCAAGAGGATATGATTTTGTTGAGGGTTTGAGGGGTGGGTGAAGATCCTCCTTGTTGCAACTGAGCCAACAGCTCCAAACCAAAAGGCTTTGCTAGCTTCCGGATCATTGTCATAGTGGAGATTTTGAGTCGTCATACCCGCGGGAAACTACTCCAAGGGCTATGCTTGTGGCTATTTTTGAGGTGAACCGTGATAAGCAAGAGAATGACAAAGCGTTCTTTCTCATCATATTTGTTTTGCACTGAAACGAGTTCCTGCATTTTGTGTGTAATGCAATTTGTGATCAGTTCAACAATTAAGGAGAAGTTAAATATAATATGAGCAAAATAAATTATTAAATTGTCAAAATGATTCCATAAAAAAAAATGTCAAAATGAGTTGTTTAAATAGATTTAAAAAACCATAAATTTAGAGGTAAAATATGGGTTACATTACAGTTAAGAAGTATTACTAATTCACATATATCATAACAGGTACATATGTATTAGCACTATACTCGTATATATAAACTTGATTTCCATTTTAACTTGTAAGACATGAATTAGTAACACGATGCAACATTGTGACGACATGAGAAAACAAAAATATCTCCTCCCGTACGGATATCATCTTCTACTCTTTTTTTGGGTAAATGTGATTTTCTTATCATATACTTTTTATTTGTTTTTGCATTATGATTATGCCTAAAACTATGTTATGTTAGACTTCCTGTATAAAGTTTTCCAATGTAAACTTTTAAAAAAAACACTCCAACAAAATAAAAACTTTAAAAAAAAACACCCAAAAGACGTTACCTTTAAACATAAGCAAGTGGTCGGTGGACATATAAGTGCAATACATGTACAAATATAGGTACATGGTCTTATTTCTTACCATACGATATGAAGAGTATTTTACAAATATAAAATTCAAATCACTTCTCTCCAATATTACCATCATTAAAGAAAATAAATAGTAGTTAATTTTTTTTAAAGGACTTGGGATTTATGTAATATTTTACAAATCTGATGTACAAGATACTAATGAACCTAAATATTACATTAAAAAAAAAACAGATAAATTGATTTTGGTACAAATCCAAAGAAAGAATTAGAAGAATAAGTAACATACATAAACAAACAAGTAAAAACAAATAAACATGTAAGCCAAAACACCACTAGACTATAGTCCCACACGCTTTCACATTTAACAATAATCCCATTTGATAAACCAGCATTGTAGATCTCGCCCCGTTCCCAAATTTGCAATGAACCCCAATTCCCAATTCAATTTGACCAATAACAATTAGCACCCAAAAAGGGGCCACCATGTTTATTTGGGGGTTAAGAGCATTAGGCCTCGTTTGGTTTGTGGAAAAGATTTGATGGGAAATAATTTCTCATGTTTGGTAATCTTTGGGAAAGTAACCAGGAAATGCCACTTTATTTTCTTTCAAATGTTTGGTTTGTGTAGGAATGTAAAACTAAATTTGTTTAATTTTCCAATGATACCCATATAAAATTAAATAAAAAATAATGCATTTAATGCTATATTGTAATTCTAAATGTGACAAAATGGTCATGAAAAATGTACATTTAGTGATGACTCATTTTCCCAATCTTTCTCATGAGGAGGAAAACAAAACCCAAGGGGTAGGAGGGCTTCACTTTTCCTCCACTTTCTCATATGCCAGGCAACCATTTCCCATGTCTGGAGTTACCAAACATGGGAAATCAATTGATTTCCCATTCCCAAGTCTCCTTTCTCATGAACCAATCGGGACCTTACCTATATCCGATGTCCTAGATTTGATTTTTATTCAGCATGTTTACTTATCAGAAATGGATATTAAAATGATTGTAATTCCTACTTTTCATTTGTTTTCTAAAACATGGATATTGAATTAATTCTAATTCATTCCTCACTTATCCTACATTTACTAACACATAATGAATAAAAAATTATGTGAGTTACGTGCTAAAATCCGTAATCAAATACGCTCAAAATAAGGAATGGAATGAACTACTCCTGATTGATATGATTCCAATTCCTTGATTACCCTATTTAAGTTGACCCATTCAGGATTTCTCCCATGTTTGGTAAGTAAACATTATCGCTTTTACAAAAATAAAAAATAAAAAAACTTGTTTACCCACTTGAAATTTGAGCGACTGTGTTAACTCGTTCTCACCACCGAAGGGTCCAAAGTCCAAACCCAATAAACCCTCTTCTCTTCTGTAGGGGCCTTATCTCTTCTCGTCTTTCTTCCGCTGCAACCCAACACAATGTTCGCAGCGGCGCCCTCCTCCACCTACCTCAACCCCAAGCCCACCATCCTTCCCTCCTCTGCCCGCACCCTATCCCCACCCATCACCTCCGCCACCGCCTCCAGTAGCCGGCGCCCAATCGTCAAGTGCCACCTGTCATCGCCTTCTTCTTCCTCTTCCTCACCCCTTTCCCAAAACCCTAAACCCTCCTCCACCCACCTCAAAACCCTGTCCAAAGCCCTTGCAGCCGCGTCCACAGTCACCCTTATCTTCAATTTAGGATCTTTCAACGGTAACGGCATTTCTGGCGGCGGAGGAGCTGGGTTTGGGGGCGGAGGCGGCGATGGGTTCGGCGGTGGAGGCGGCGATGGGTTCGGCGGGTTCTGGAGGAGGCTTTTGTTTGGGTCGCAGACGGCCATGGCGGACGAG